TTTTTTTTGGTCAGACCACTAGTAAAAGTGTAACTGGGAATTCTATCCAGTCTCTTTCAATCAATATCCGACATACAGTAATGTGGATATTTGTACTTTTGAAATGGATATATGGCATACATAAGCATATGGCATACTGTTCAATACAGTACCTGTCATCCAAAATGTTGCCATAGTTTACTTTAGGTAATACTAACAAAGTGCACTGTTATATTGACAACATGACTAAGCATTTTGACTATCTTGTTTGTGAACAATGACACAAGGACTTTTCATTCTGATGGCACTGATATGTTCATTGACATAAATACTTGCTTTTGAGAGACGAACTAAAGATTTTGAGTAAGTTACAGGCTTTTGCAGGTAATCCATTGTGTGGTGCTGTTTGTACGAATTGTTTTGAGAAATGCACATACTTTTTTGCAAATATTAAGGATGATTTGAGAAATGCTCCAAAGCGACTGAGAAAAACTGTAATTAATGGCGGGCTAGAAAAATACACATATGAAGGTCGTCTCGAATGAATTCCCGCGTCTCGCCAGAAGGTGGCGGCCGCAGCTAAATCATCCATCCATCCATTTAATGGATTATTACGAAAGAAAAGTAACACAATTTAGATGTTAAGCTTAAACTGTTCACATTTTTAAAACAATACGTAGTTTGTGTAAAAAAAATCGCCTTCTCTGTTTTTCCTGACTGATTCCATTCATTAGGCAGAGCAAACATGGTGTTAGTCTATAATACAATCCACTTTTGCTCTGTGTTGTGTTTAGTTTTTGTTTGTTTGTTGTTTTAACTTGTGAGGCTTTAAAATTGGGCCATTTGAATAGTTTGATAATTATTAAATAAACAGACTCACAAATCCTGCCGCTCCACAGAACGCCACCCACAGGCTAGTTTTTTTTTTTTATTACATTATATATATGTCACAAATCGTTTTTAACGTGCAATGCTAGGCTGTAAGATTTGATATTTTTCAGCAGAACATTTGTCTTCTGTGGCTATAATAAAGTTCGTATATGCTTCAAATAGCCATGATCTCCCTTTCTCTTTCCGTTGACTTTTATTATTATTAACATTATTCCTCTTTTTCTTTTTCCAAACTCGCGCCACTTCTTGCAGTGAACTTTTGCCTGTTTGGTGATTAAATTAACGTTTTGGACTAGCCTACTGTCTTGAACGGATCGCGACGCGTCCGGTGTGCGACACTGCGCTTGATCGTCCGCTGTGCGACCGCTTTTAGGTTGTGCCCCCCTCTCCCCTGCAGTCGCAAAATGCTGTGATTGAACCTGTCACGTTCGCTTTTATCGTTGAAGATAAATTTTAACAATTAAATATCTTACAATGGTCGAGCAAAATACGAGCAATTAAATTTCTTCATTAGTTAATAAAGGTAATATTACTTGAAAAGAGATAGCAACGTATAAATGTCTTACCGTGCCCACGAACACACAAAAGTAAACAGAGAAAAATAAAGATGTGCTTCATTTTCATTTTGTGCTAAAACACGATGCAGATTCAGTGAAGTAAAAACGCTCTGATGCTGGAAGTGAAAGTAATTTGGGAGGCTCCCCAGCTAACAATGGCCTGGCGGTCCGCCAGCGTTTTGGGAGGCACAAATTCAATGACCGGACCACCGTGTGCAAGCCAAAAAGTCTAAAAATGCTGTTCTTTGGGTGGCACGCGGCTGGGCCTCCGTCGGTACATCAGTGGCAAGCCCGATGGTCGGACCGGTGTTTCTACTGAGCTCTTACATAAATATATACTATATCTCACAGTTAAAAATAACCCTTAATCTGCAAATGCTGTGTAGACGTTATTTTATTTTGTTAAATTGCATTGCTTATTTGCAACAATGCATGATCAGTGAAAATTGTACATATTTTGACCTTTGGGAAACATGCAAAGGGCAGTACTCAAGCAAAAAAAAAAAAAAAGGGATTAAAACAAAATATGAAAGAAAAAAAAAAGTATCCCAATCATCCTGTTCAAAAGTTTACATCCTCGGTAATGAAGTCACACAATAATGAACCGAAAATAGGTCTGCTGATTATTTTTTTCTATATTTGTTTTTAGATAGGCCTATATTTTTAGATTTGCTTAGTATATTTTTCTCTCATATTTTTGAAACCTTTGGGAAGTCTGAATTTTAAATACTTCATGTCAGTTATAGTTTTTCTGCATAACATTACTTAGTTTGAATCATTGTAAAAGTTAAAAAGAAGTATATAAATACTCTTTACATGGCAATCACCCTGCAAGGCATTTGTTCCAGCGGAGTAGTACCATGTCTAATTTGACTGCTCAGCTAATAGTTTTTAATCAGGACTGTATTTAGTAGAATTACATGTGTTCTGCTTGGACAGAACAAAACCTTTGCACACTGGCCTTAGTGTTTGGTGGGAGTGTGGTCAAATATATTTTAAAAAAGGATCTAAATGTTGTTGTGCTCTTGAGCAAGGCGTTTCATCACAAAACCTCTTCATAGGTGATGCACTGTATTAAACATGTAAACAAGACAATTGTGCTAATTTATTCTTTCTACGTTTTAGATGTTGTCATCATCAAATGTGGTCTAAAATGCAGGCAATCACTACATTTTCACTGCTGTACTGCACCTCAACAGCAATCAGACGTGATAGTCTTATTACACATTTTAAAATGTCTAAAAATTCGGCATCTGGACAGCCTTCAAAAAAAGTCAATTGCAAAATGGCATCTTTTTAGTATTGACAGACTGATAGATCTGTTCATGACTGCAGGGAGTGATATCAGGCCAGATGTAGTTGTGAATAATCAAGAGACAGATTCTGTATGCAAAGCCATGCAAGGTTGAGATTGGGGACAAGCATATCCTCCTGATGATGCAGGCCTTCGAAGGATTTTGAGGTACAGCTTTTGAACTTCTTTGCTTGTAAACTTTTAATATCTGTAGTGGAGTGTTAAGAAAGAATGCAGCATTCACAGTTGTCACAAATTACCCACTGAGGGTGAATTGAGTAAACCAAATGCACTTTATTACTGTAACAAAACTATAAACAAACAAAGACTTTACATAAAACGAAAAATAATCACAGAACTTGACAGCTATATACTGTATTTACTGAATCTGGTCTAAATGTATATTTCTATATTTAACAGGGTGCCCCTCTTCAGCTAGGAGGAACTGATTGTGGGGTATTCATGTTGATGGTAAGTGGTCTTATAATTG